AATAACATGCAACTACTTGGGTTGCTGATTGCCTTTTCTAATATCTGCATCAAGATTCACGTGGATTCCCCTTCTCTTGGAAAACCCATAGAAATAAAAGTATAGGATCTTTTTTCTAAATATATCAAGTAAATGGAGAACTGCAGCCTTTTTATCTTTCAGAAATCACATGGGTGTGATGTTTATTCTTGAAGACAGATCAGACTCTCTGAAATGACAACATTCTAGTTCCTCATTCTGTTATTTTTCAGTTCTTTCCCAATATGTGATGTGTATTATAAGAAGAAAGCCTTCTCTGTCTGTGTGCCCTTAAAAGTAATTGGAGTATAGGGAACTTTGTTTTGTTCTATGCTGGGAGCCAAGGATGCAGTTCTTTTCTATGTGGATTTTGAGCATTGAAAGAGGAGACAATAACAAATTTCACTACAGCTGCAGGGTGATGTGTGCCTCCTCTCTGCCCCCAAGTCATGGCAGATGGTGCATTCCATGGCACTGGAGCTATGAATCCAGTCAGGGTTTTATTTAAAATTGTAAGTGAACTATCAAGATGCTGAACCTTTTTGGATAGATGGAATTCAATACCTTGGATAGTGTGAACCAAACCCCAGAACACAGGCCAACTGCTGTCGCTGCTCCAAGGGGCAACATTATTGATATTATTGGTGATGATGTTGTTCCATGCCATTAAGTTGACGGAGTTATGGTGATTTCCAAGAGACTCTGTTATTAATAGCTCTGCTGATGTCTTGGAAACTCAGGGGTATGGTTTCTTTGATTGACTCGATTAACCTGAGGTTTTCCTCTTTTCCCACTGCCTTCAACTTTGCCATGCATTTTGACCTTTTCCAGTGCATCATGTCATTTCATGATATGTTCAAATTATGGCACATTAGTCCTATTCATAAATGTATAAGTGGAAGATATATAGATTTAAGCAGATCACACTAATCCAAAGCAGATCAATTAGCCTGCCGCCTGTCCTGCTTTCATTTTCCTTATGCATTTACAAACACACACACATATCTTACTTACACCTTTGCTTAAAAACATGTAGGTGTTTCTCTGGAGTAAAAGTGGCCATCCCAGTGCCAATCAGATCCCAGAATGAGGATGAGATTGAACCACTTTGCTTTGCGGTTCCTGGTCAGATTGGGGAACCATTTCTGCACACCTACAATTGGCATAACAAACAGTTTCACAATGAAGTTGTGTGTGTGGTTTTTTTTTGTCATGTCAGGAGCAACTTGAGAAACTGCAAGTCACTTCTGGTGTGAGGGAATTGGCCGTCTGCAAGGACGTTGCCCAGGGGACCCCCAGATGTTTTGATGTTTTACCATCCTTGTGGGAGGCTTCTCTCATGTCTCCACATGAGGAGCTGGAGCTGATAGAGGGAGCTCATCCGTGCTCTCCCCGGATTTGAACCTGTGACCTGTTGGTCTTCAGTCCTGCTGGCACAGGGGTTTAACCTACTGCACCACTGGGGCTCCTCACAGTGAAATAGATAGAGGTTATTTCCTATGTAAATAGTAAGTCTAGAGGAGGAATCCAGATCATAATTATAGCATGGGTCAAAATGTAAAACCCACTACCCCCATGCTGAGAGCTTTATCTGGATCAGATTCTCTGCACTTACTTTTGAGCAAAGGAAAAATACAGCATAACAGTGTATTAGGGATGGAAGGTAATGCTGAGCTTGTCCCTTAGCTACAGCTGCTCTTTATTTAGAACTAGATTCAACAGGTGGCAAAACATTCGGAGTTTTCAAAAGACAGGTAGAAACACCTTTCAGTGGTGCATCTAATTCATTCACTTTGTAGTGCAGGACATAATATAGAATAGTATATATAATGGAGAAATTAAAGGGGGTGTCAGTTAAGTAGATTTTGTTGTGATAATGGTGTGTGTTTCTTAATAAATCTTAACGATGTTCCTCGGTTTCTTTAGAACAATGGTTCTCATCCTGTGGGCCCCCAGATGTTTTGGCCTACTACTCCCAGAAATCCTAGCCAGTTTACCAGCTGTTAGGATTTCTGGGAGTTGAAAGCCAAAACATCTGGAGACCCACAGGTTGAGAACCACTGCTTTAGAAGAAAGTTGGAGTGCACGTGCTGCAAATGATCAGGTGCACTTTCTCCCATTTAAGTGAAAAAGGAAAGAGGAACTTAATCAAGGGCCATGTCTCATTCTGTTCCAGTACTGAGTCACGGACACAAATTCTAGTGTACATAAAAAGACACCAGTTATTCTTAGTTCATATTAGGGTCAGCTCTAGGTAAAAACATTCACATGTCTTCTAGAGTACTTCTATTGTCCAGTAATTTGTCCTGATGGCTTGGCTTGCCTGTAGTGGACAACAGCAGACAGTGATGGGCAACAGAGAGCAGCAATACAAACAGTATTGTTGCTCTCTCTTGGCCTTGATGACCTGGGAACATTTTGAGAAATTTAATGGCAACTCTTGTGCCTAGAACAGCAGCCTAGCTTTTCTCAGAACATCAGAATAAATCATAATTTTAAAGGAGGACCTAGAATAAATGTAAATAATTAATCTTCTGGGAATGCTGGCACCAGATTTGCAGCCCTTGGGCCACACTCAACCTTTCAGAGATCCAATGTAGGACTTCCCATGAATACCCAGCCCCTCGCTCCCCCTCCACTAAACCTCCCTCCAGGGTTTTGTTTAGGAAACCAGTTCACAACATTCTTTAAATCCTTATAAATGCTCTTTGGAAAGTTTAGTGCCTAAAACAAGAGATGAAGTTTACTGTTGCCTTCTTCCGGGCTATGCAAAAGAGAATTATCTGAAATACACTGCCATTGTCATTGGGAGATCCTCAGCTGGTATCACCTCCCATTTCTGCTACTGTCTTGGTACTTTGAAGAACATTTAATCCAGATCCCCAGAAAATCCCTGTCTGATTTGGGAGACCTTATCAGTACCAACACTTATGGGAGCATATAATCATTGGAGTATAAAATCCTACTTCCATGGAAAGGTAGTGCTGAGGTGAATAGGACTTTTTACCTGCCCCCAAATTACCTCACAAGTTTGCAGCTACAAATAGTGTTGTGCCTCACTTCTTCCAGACCAAAAGCTGTCTTCTCCTTTGTAGCACAGGTTTTGTCTGGCCATGGCAGTAGCTCATTCTTCAGTTTTGAACAACAACAACAACAAACTTTATTTTTATACCCCAGCACCAACTCCCCTAGGAGACTCGGGGCAGTTTACAAAGGGACATGCCCAAAAATTAGATAAAAACAGAGACACAGTTAAAATCAATCAACAAAAATACTAAAACATAACACAATCATAAACAGCATCACAAACAATATGGCTGAGATTAAGGTCATGGCTGAGTTCAGGCTCAATGAGTGCAAATAATTCCTAAAAGGATCCAATGGAAAGTGTGAAAAATTGAATAAACAGGGGCTAGGGAATACTGTTGGCGAAACTGTTGAGGTATCCAATAAAAGGGCTGAAATAAAGTGCAGAACTTAAGATGGGGACAAGGTTAGGGTTCTCTGGTGAGCTGCCTAATCAAAGGCACAATGGAGCATACAGATTTTTAATTCCTTCTGAAAGGAGGCCAACGTGGAAGCCTGACTGATCTCCCTAGGGAGGGAATTCCAAAGCCGAAGGTCCACCACCAAGAAAGCCCTCTCCCTCATCCCCACCAACCGCGCTTGGGACGGCAGTGGAAGAGAGAGCAGAGCCTCCCCAGATGATCTCAGGGTACACACCAGTTTATAGGGGAAGATGTGATCGTGAAGATAGGCAGGTCCCAAACAACTACAAAACAACAATGTTCAGAAAAAATATTTTTAGAGAAAGTCACCAATTTTCCCAGAGCAAATGCTCTACCCATGTTCTTCACAGATGAACAAAAGCATTTGATCCCTGTTCCTATACCATTCATAGCTAATGGAGTGCAGTGGTTTGGTCACTGGAGAACAACTCTGGAGACCAGGGTTCGATTATCTGCTCAGACATGGAAGCCCACTGGGTGTCCTTGAGTGAGTCAAACACACTCTGCCTTAGAAAACCCCATGATAGATTCATCTTAGGATTGCCATAAGTCTAAAACAGTGGTTCTCAACCTGTGGGTCCCAAGGTGTTTTGGCCTACAACTTTCAGAAATCTCAGCCAGTTTACCAGCTGTTAGGATTTCTGGGAGTTGACAGCCAAAACATCTGGGGACCCACAGGTTGAGAACCACTGGTCTAAAAGAACTTGAAGGCACACAAGAATACACAAAAACCACTAATATCAAGATCTTGTGCCCACAGCTACTATTAAAGATTTGAATACCTTGGGACTACAAGTTCAGAAAGAGATCTAGGCACTGCCCCAATGGCACTGCCATATTCACTTGCACATCGAATCTTAGATAAGCCAGTACGGAAGATATCTTGTTTACACTCGCTTTGTCTTTCAAATTAAGAGCTGAAATTGGTGGAAAGTTATTTTGTCTGTATGCCCATGCCCCAAATCTTAGGACTCGTACATTGACAGTTGTTCATGAAGAAACTATATTTTAAAAATTCACAAAAGTGAGACTTCCTTAATCATTTTCTTTAATATAGAGCTTCCATTCACACCAAAGGTACTAGTATTACAAGGTTATAGGAGTGCTAAGTTCAAGCTTGTAGATTTGTGCATACATTTTTGCGAAATGAAGAGCTTAAATATAGTTCCATATTCCGCAAATGTAACAGGAAGGGAGAGAAATTACAGCAGACAAAATTGGGACAGATCTAGCCAGCAAAACTGCTCTCATCTGCAAGAAATGCCTTGAAATATACTTTAACCACAACAGCTATGAAGCAAAAAGTTGAACATCTCTAGCCATACAGGAAACTGAATGCTGAGGTATCTCTAACCAATCAGGAGTCTCACAAGCCTCAAACCAGGAAAGCCTTCAAAAGGACAGAATATGTGAACGTTGCTGTAAAAGACTTCTCACTCTGCTCTCTTTTAAAATCTTCTTTATGAATTGCAGGATGCTCAGACAAACGTGAAATCCATCATGGCGAAGTTTAGCAACAACCCAGCTGAGGAGGTGCACAACCGGCAAGTTAAAATTGGAGGGCAGCCTTCTTTGGTCACAAAAACAGCATTTGAGAAATTTGCTCAACTGGAAAATGCTGGCTTACCTGTCAAACCCAGCAGTTTAAACAAACCTGCACCTCTCAAAACTTCTGTGGGAGCAAAGCCTTCTCTTCACGATGTCTCAGACAAGGATTCAAAGCCATCCTCTTTGAAATCTAGTCCAATAGCTAGCAAAGTTGCTGCACTGACCCAAGCGGTAAACAAAGACGCCAATGAAAAACCTGGATTTCCTAAGCCTTTGGGTCCCAAACCCATAGAAGGACTAAAACAGGAACCTAAGCCGCTTTTTCCAAAGCCACCTGAAAACCGGTTAACTGGCTCTCTGCCTTCAAAAAATGACACAAGACCACCAGGACCAAAGCCGAACTTGAAACTGAACCTCCAAGAAAGTGAAGCAAAGCCTGTGTTTCCCAAAGTCCTGGAAAAATTCTCTGCTTCACAGGAAAATAACCACAAAGCTCAGTTTCCAAAGCCACCTCTTAGGGAAAAACCAGGTCTACACCCCATCCGCAATGAAGAAGCTTCCAACAAAAATGCACATTTGAGCCGGGCACCTTCAAGTTCAGGAGGCCTCAAACCCAAAGTGAACTCATTTCGGACTCCAAAAGATATTGAGGAAAACAACAACAAGGGAGTGGATCCCGCTGTTAGCCCTTTCCCACCTTTGAAACATGTTGTCAGTCATCAGAACAACTTAACTGCAGTCCACCCAAAACCTTTGGCGCAGGAGATCGAAGAAGGAAGGCCAAGTGTCACCAAGAACATTTCCAGATTCAATCAAGAAGACTCAGGGCCAACTTCTGGTGCTCCTTCTAATAAATTTGTGAGTTCTGGCAAAGTGGCTACAACGGGACCCTGGGCCAATAACTCAGAAAGGGAAGAGGGATACAAGACTTTGCCAAAACGAAAGGCATTACCTCCACTATTCAAATTAGGCCCACCTCCACAGAAACCCAGCAGACCTCCAACAGTTGACCTGGAAAGGTTTGGGAAAAATAAGGAAGAAAGTGAGTATTTTTTATTTATTATATGAACATCTTTTATCTCGCCCGAGCTTTTAATTAGTTTTAATCGGTTTGTCTTTTAATCATTACATGTAGTCTGCCCATTGTTATTGTGCTTGTGTATATTGTAATTTTATATTGTTATGTATTCATATGTTTTATGCAACTATGTTTTTATTGTTTATTGTTCGCGTTTTCAGTTGTTTTGGGTTTTTTAATTGTAATTGTCATTTGGGCTTGGCCTCATGTAAGCTGCTCCGAGTCCCCATCGGGGAGATGGTGGCGGGGTATAAATAAAGATGATGATGATGATGATGATGATGATGATGATGATTAGAAGCTCCTCCTTGGGTTATCATAAGCCCTTATCATATGGGAGGTTTTATCTTTCACATCTTATACTGCCTCACCTCCCCCAGCACTTTCTTGTATTAGTTTGAATAGGAGTGAACAGTTTAGGCTGGTCCAAGATATTTTGCTGTCTGAAGGAGAGAAAGAAATAAGGTCCCCACCCCAGCCAGATATTACTGCTGTTCTTGTTGATTTCTACAGGGGGGAAATGAATAGATGACTTTCAAAATCCCCTTGCTCCAATTTTGGCCATTAAAATTCAACAATAATAAAATAAACAGTGCTACTAAACAATAATGGACAATATCCATGGCTGGATGTTCACTGTCCATGCAAGGTAATTGGGGAAATGTTCCTTTATTACAGCCAACTACCATCAATCTATGTTTAAATCTAGTCCCTGGTGGACTAGAAAATCTTGAGACCATTTTTGAGGGACCATCTAAGAACTAGTTTTGGGGGATGCATCTGGGAGAAAAATTAAGTTTCCTTGCATTAGTGCTGCATTACACATGCAACATAAGGATTTAGGTTAATAAAACTAAACCTTATGGCTTTAAAATAAAAACTGAATGTAGCACTGAAGCAGCATATCAAAAGCAAAGGTTTTAAGGCTTTGCTTTAAAATTGTTTAAAAGTTGTATAGGAATAGAAAAGTCCTCACTTGATACTTAAAGCATGCTAGGTACCAGATGGACCTCTCTTAGGCCCCATCTACATTGACCATATCAATTATAATCCAGTTTCTGAATGCAGGTTATCTGCTTTAAAACAGATTATATTACAGTGGCATATAATCCAGTTTAAATCAGATAATCTGCATTCAGGAACAGGATTATATGGCAGTGTCGATGAGACCTAAGGTCTGAATCTGGAACCCATCACAATAAAACACATTTCATAAGTAGTCCCCACCCACTTACTGTCTCGAGGAGTAGGAGACTCTAAATCCAGATAATTCTTCAGCCATTTGAGAGAATATGGTCTTGTATCTCATTATAATGCATTGAACTCCCCATTTGTAGCATTCCGATAGTATTGTCTTGGTCCTGCTTTAAGATAACCTTTATCTTTTGCTTGTCCAAATTGCTTAAATTAGATACCTTATATCCATTTTGTACTACATAATTTACTATATGGCCTCCAAGTATTCCAGTTTGGCCGGGACATCATACAGTATTATTTCTCTGTCCCTTCACATTTTCAGCTGATTTTAAAATGGCTTCGTTCCTTTTTACCTCCCTTTTGTCTTTCACTTCAGCAGCTGTACACAGAGTTCAAAATGAGAATGGAATTGACAATCCATTAACTCAGTGGGGAGGAGAGATGGGGTGGAATCTTATTCTTCCCAGTAGGCTCAGGCAAAAGCAAACTCTCCTAGTTTGCCTGCTCTTCCACATTAATGACTTTGACAACCTTGATGACACTGTAATGTTGCTTGGTGGCAAGTGTCCCAATTTTCACCTGCGAATTGTTGGAGGGTATAATAGCCTTTTCTGTTATTGAACAGAATTGGGACCGCCCCGCCCCACCGCCTCCCATCTCCTCCAGTACTCTTGTTCTTGTTTATTCGTTCATTTGCTTTCGACTCTTCATGACCTCATGAACCAGCCCATGCCAGAACTTCTTGTCGGCCGTGGTCATCTCCAGCTCCTTCAAAATCAAGCCAGTCACTTCAAGGATACCATCCATCCATCTTGCCCATGGTTGGCCCCTCTTCCTTTGTCCTTCTATTTTCCTCAGAATCATTGTCTTCTCCAATCTTTCCTTTCTTCTAACTAATTGGCCAAAGTACTTCATATTTGACTCTAATACCTTTCCTCCAGTGAGCAGTCAGTTTGATCTTCTTGCGGTCCAAGGCACTCTCAGAATTTTCCTCCAGCACCACAGTTCAAAAGTGTCTATCTTCCTTCGCTCAGCCTTCCTTATGGTCCAGCTCTCACATCCATAGGTTGCTACAGTGCTCTAGTTGGATTCAAAGCTTCCTTTCTATAGGGTCATTAAAGTTAAAAGTGGTCCCCGAGTTTACAAACATCTAACTTAGAAACAAATCATAGTTAAGAACAGGGGTGAGACATACAGGAAGTGAGAGCAATTTAGCCCTAGGAAGGGAAATTCTCTCCTGTATGCATTATGAAGGGAGAAAGGAGTTTCCATTGAAGCATTATTACCCATCCTTGTTTTCACAACAAGCCAATTTTTTCAAAATACAATTATCACAGGGGCAAAAAGAAATGAGGTGAATAGGGACACAGACAGCAACATAAATGTCACAGGCATGTTAACCTTTCCCTATACTATCCAAAACTAGAGGTGGAGAGGGGGAGACGCTGCAGTTACATTTTAAAATATACCTGCTCCAAGTTACATACAAATTCAGCTGAAGAACAAACTTACAGAACCTATATTGTCTGTAACTTGGTGACTGCCTGTATTAGGAGGTTAGTCGTGTTTTTAGCTTTGGCCCTCAATGATATGCCTTCCTCAAACTACAAGAAAGGAGATTCCATCTGAACATGAGGAAGAACTTCCTGACTGTGAGAGCCGTTCAGCAGTGGAACTCTCTGCCCCAGAGTGTGGTGGAGGCTCCTTCTTTGGAAGCTTTTAAACAGAGGCTGGATAGCCATCTGTCAGGGGTGATTTGAATGCAATATTCCTGTTTCTTGGCAGGGGGTTGGACTGGATGGCCCATGAGGTCTCTTCCAACTCTTTGATTCTATGATTCTATGATTCTATGATCCTCCAGCAAATCACCTGATTCTTTTAACTAGGTCATTTGCTATATTTTGGTGCATGGAAGATAACATTTCTTTCTCCCTCTCTCTCTCTCTCTCTCTCTCACACACACACACACACAAAGAAATAAAAACAGTAGGAATGCATTTCTTAATCAGAATAAAAAGAAGAGTAAACACACCATGTTAAGAAGCAATGCACTAGCAAGAAAATATAGTCGTCTGTAACTCAAGTGTAAAGCTAACTGCAGGCAGCCATCTGCAGAGGCGGATGAATTGGAAGTGGATGTTGTCATTTAAACAACAATGGAACATTATGAAGGGAGGCAGAATGCAACCCTAGGTGATCAGCATTGGGATTATGAGGAAATGAAATCAAATTTGGTACACATTGTATGGTCATATCAGGTTACTGCCCTTTTCTGGACAAAAAGTAGGACGATTAATATCAGTGTGTTACATTATATCTACTAGAAAACGCAAATATAGAGAGCTGGCATAGTGTAGTTTTTGAATGCTCGACTACAACTCTGGAGAGCTGGCCCTTCCACTCAGCATATATCAAGGCAGATGATCCACAATATTTGTTTTGAACTGGATTATCTTAGTCCGCACTGCCATATAATCCAATTCAATGTGGATTTTATACAGCTATGTGGAAGGGGTCCAGGTTTCAAAATTTTGCTTGGCCATAAAACCCAGTGGGTCCCCTTGGGGAAGTCACAGTCCCCCAACTTTAGAAGAAGGCAATGGCAAACCTTTTCTGAAGAAACCCTGCCAACCCTCCCTCCCCCCGCCAAGATGGGGTCACCAATGGATAGAAATGACTTGAGGATTCCTGAGGTTTTGAATGAGCAGGATAGTTTCCTAAACAGCTACACTGACTGTATAGTTTTGTATACTCACACTCAGAGTTGGGTCTGGTCATGGAGTCATCTTTGAGCCTGGGTACCCAAGTTAGCCATAGATACCTTGGATACCCAGGGAGCACTGGTGTGGGCTGGTCCATGAGGTCACGAAGAGTCGGAAATGACTGAACAAATGAACAACAACCCAAGTTTTGGTTATGGCCAGGAAAGCACCTCCACGGGTGAAACTAGTGTGCTAGCTGCACCCGTTCTTTGATATACTACATCTGGTGACACCCATAAATTGTCCCTATGTGTTTGTTTCCCACGCTTGTATATTATATGAATTAGTTTGGTATTTTTCTCATTACTCCAATTGGTATTTGTGCTGAAGTTTATAGTAATAGGACATTTGTGCATTAACATTGTATTTATATCTGTGTAATTAGAGTCAGCAAAAAAAAGCTGACATTGGTCACTTATAGAGAGCCTGTAACTTCCTTGTTAAAACAGCTTCAGTAGCTTCTGGGTGGAATTCAAAGCACTGGTCATGACCTAGATCCCAACATAACTTGGGTCCAAACTATCTGAAGGATACCTCCTGATACAACTTTGATCTATTTCTTGGTCCCGTCACCATCACAGGCTCACGTGGTGAGGACACAATAGAGAGTCTTCTCAGTGTTTGTACCCATTCTGTAGAACTCCCTTCTGCAGGAGGCTAGGCTGATCCCTGTTGTGTTCTTCTTGTCCGGACACACATAGGTGTTTAAAAAATAAATAACGGTAGTTCAACTGTGCAAATGTATTTAAAATTTGCACAAGCACTACTGTGAAACCTTGAAGTCTATAAAATATGTAAAGTCAATAATATTTACTTTAAAAGTAATCAGTAGAGGAAGAGAGGGGGAACCAATGGGAACAATTCAGATATCTAAATAAATTTAGTCTCAGAAAACTACAGTTTCCATGGAACACTTTTTTCTACCAGAAATTCTCATAGAACATTTGGGAAAGGGTGTATGTTTGTTGGGGACATGAAGGAAGAGTACAAAATGTGAGAGAGGGAAAAGTCTGAGAAAAATACAGTGGCAGCAAATGAATAAAAAGCACCAAACAGTAGAGAACACATCCACAGATTATATGCTCAATTTAAGAGACATCCATAAACAGCTCTGAGGCCAAAGATGGAGACTTAGGAGACATTCCAGCCCAGGGCACTGGAGCAGCAGACATGCATGAGGCAGAAACAGATATCTGTTTTTATGGACTCCTTTTTGTTTCCCTCAGGAAATCTCACTTTTCATGTATGCTTCTTAATTTTTTTTCTTTTTAGTCATGAGCTCCTTTATGAATCTGTTGAGCTATGAATCCCACCTTCTCAGATAATGCGCTTAAAATATAACTTTCAAACCAACAAGAAAGAAAACAAAAATCAATGTTTTTTTTTCCTCTTTGGTCAGAATTACAACAACCCCTGAGTTAATTCCAGGGACCGCCATATCAAATAGGTCACACAAGCTTCAAAGAAGCATAGTATGTCCTCCAACATTTTACAGGTGACAACTTGGACACGTGGCAAAGTAACATCAGAGTATTGTCAAAATGAGTCATGAATGAGAAATAATATACTAGTTAGGAGAAGTTGAAGCAGTTTGCTATTGCCTGAGCCTACTGGGAAAGGCAAAATTCCCCTTCCCCTCTTCTCTTTTCATGAGTGCAAGCTACTTTTCCATTGTGAACTCAGATTGCAGCAACTAAAGTAATCCAGGAACAAAAGGAGGAAGTGGGAGGATATTTATTTATTTATTTATTTACAATATTTCTACCCCGCCCTTCTCAGCCCCCGAGGGGGGACTCAGAGCGGCTAACACTGGCAATATCAATATAACAACAATATAAAAACATAAATATGCAATAGATTGAAAACAATAACATTAATTATACAATCACATAGCCATTTCCATTATCATGAGAAACTGGTACATTTTAAAAGCATCCGAAAAAGGGCAATGGCAGGATTAATTGGGACTGTCCATGCAAATCATTACATTTAGAGGCCATTGCATATATTGCATATATTCATTCTATTTAGGTACATTGTTCCTTGGATTTCTGTGTACAAATCAGGAATAAACATAGATACATATTCTCACAGTATTCAAATTTGGGAGTATCAGGTATTTGTACCAAATTTCATCCAGTGAATGAAAATACATCCTGCATATCAGATATTTACCTTACAATTAATGACAGTAGCAAAATTACAGCTATGAAGTAGCAATGAAAATAATTTTATGGTTGAGGTCCCCACAACATGAGGAACTGTATTAAGAGGTCGCGGCATTAAGAAGGTTGAGAACCACTGGTCTAGAGAGAATATATTTTGGTCAAGTGTAGGGCAGCAGCAGAGACAGCTGAAAATACAGCAATCTGTGAATAATTTAATCAATGAATGCTTAAACTGCAAATGTGACGGCCCAATTTTACAGTGTAATGTATGAACATCCTTACTGTGACTTCTGCTTAAATATGTTTGTCTTCTATCAATCCATCCCCACCCTTTTTTTCCAGGCTCTAACAAACTGCAAGCATCCGGCTTACCTCCTCCACTTCCACCACCCAGTCCTGCCACACAAACTGCTACTCCACAACCACAGCCACCAGCTCCTCCTCTACCTCCAGGTTCCCACCCATCAGCACAAGCTCCACCGATCCTCCCTCCAAGAAACATCAAGCCAAGGTGTGACACCATGTGGTATCCAAGAAACCTGTGGCCCTATCTACTCTGCCATATAAGATTCAGATTATCTGCCATTATATTTGTCTACACTGCCATATATTCCAGTTCAAAGTAGATCATGTTGGTGTTATATGGCAGTGTAGATGGAACCTTAGTCTCTTCTTTCTTGGTAAACTGGAGAAATCTCTTTGGTCATAACCTCATAAAATATTTTCCCCATACAGTCATTTCGAAACAACCTTGCTTTGATGCTTGTCATTGTGTTTGTTTTCTTTCACTGCGATGCAGCAATAAAGATGCAAATCCTGAAAACTGGAAGTTGTATGGATGCTCAAGTAGAAATGAGGCAGCAACCACATTTACTTGAATCTATACCTTCCATGTCTATAAAAGAGGGGGAAGGATCTTATTTTCACATTTCATAGGAGGTGCTAAACAAGCCCCCTGGATTGGATGGCCTTTATGCAGTGCCAAAAAAAGAGGAAATTCATCACAAGAAATAAGAGAAAAAAGTTATGAATTTGCATAAACTTTGCATACATAGATGCTGACTCTAGAAATACCCATAATTGCTATTATTTGAATAGAGATGCTGTATCTCCATAATGGGAAAGACTACAGCTACGTGACCTGGGTCCCTGCTGCTTCATTTGCTATTGTAATTGCAATGGGGAACATCAAGTCTTCTACTGCTCTATCTATATGGGCACAAATACGAATCAGGTCAGAAGTTGCTCTTGGGCATCCAAACGACATTCAGGTTCTTTCACTCCTAACACAGGGTAAAACCAATTAGCCCCGTGTTAACAGAATGTGAAGGATGTTCTGTAGCTTTCCTGAAACTTGAGAGCACTTCAGGGTTGGTGTGAACAGAAGGGCCTGTTCTAAATCAAACCTGCCCAGGTAAATGTAAAGGTTTTCCCCTGACATTAAGTCCAATTGTGTCTGCCGTTGGAGGTTGGTGCTCATCTCCATTTCTAAGCTGAAGAACTGGCATTGTCCGTAGACACCTCCAAGGTCATGTGGCCAGCATGACTGCAATTAGCGCCATTACCTTCCTGCCAGAGTGGTACCTATTGATCTATTCATATTTGCATGTTTTCGAACTGCTAGGTTGACAGAAGCTAGGACTGAGAGTGGAAGCTCACACCGCTCCCCAGATTCAAACCTGCAATCTTTCGGTCAACAAGTTTAGCAAGTCAGCGGTTTAACCAGCGTGCCTCCAGAGGCTCTGCCACTGGGGGCTTCACCTACCCAGAGTCCTGTCCATTCAAAATGATCAGAACTCTGTCCTGCTGTCAGAGTGGGGTGAAGGCAGACCTTGTAGCTTCCCTCAGGGCTGTTCTAGATTACTGAACTCCAGACCAAGGTCAGATTGTGTGGCCTGTGTAGATGGACCCTTAATCAGACTTGGATCAGACAGTTATTCCTATATAAATTAGGATACATGGCCCTCCTTGTATCCATATTTTGTTATTTGAAAGTCAGGGGGGAATTCCTAGCTGCATATCTGACTAGGAGATGGTGGTGACCTCTGGAAGGTCAAAACATCTGTACCTTCTCATGTCAACCTACCAACAGTAGACTCAGATGCTATGTACTTACAACAGCTTTGGGGTTAATCTGCAATTGCCCCCATAGCTCACAATTGCAGTTTGTGATTCTCAGATCCAGTCCTACCACTAATCAGAATAAGGTGAATGCCTTTGGACAAAAAAACAAACAAACTGAAAGGACAGCAAATTGTTCCATAGAGAGAATTGCAGGACTTCTTTTAATGGCAGCAGTGACTAGGGCAGGAGAGGTGGGGGGAGTCCATTATATTTCCTAACATGATGTGCGAAAAGATTCCTTGTTGAATTCTTGCAAATCAGTACAGATTTTACAAATAAAAAGTGCTTTCTATCAGTTTCAGAGGGGAAGTATCAAGTTCCAAATACAGTTTTGAAAAATCTTTACTTCAAAATAATGAATCGGGGCTTAAGCTAAGCTTTCACTGAAAATTGCAGTTTGAAAAATTTGGCTTCATCTTTGTTATTGCTGTAACATGTTACTTTCTTCTTTCCTTTTTGTAGACCGCAGGAAAATGAAGAAAATTATGATGATGCAGAATTTGTTTCGGGAGGTAAGGTTAATTCCATGTAATTCATATTATGATTTAGAGATAAGCCAATTGTATCCTTTTACTAGTTTTTGGTGTTCGTATACTTTCCACTTTGATGGCCAGTGAGGATAGGTGGTAAGGTAAAATAAATTAGTTTCCCTTTATCCACTTCTGTTTTGCTGTAGTAGTATTAACCAGGGCTAATCCTGTTTGGCTTTCAACATCAGATAAGTTCTAGCTCCTTTCAGTTATGAGAAATGCAGAGAAGTACTAGTATTAAAATCAGGATTTGGAATTTGAATAGCATACTATAGCAACTGGTACACAATTCATATCCTTCTGCTATATTTCCATACTGGATGAGTACTAGTATTTGAATAGATTAAAAGTATTTCATGTTAAAATGATATTGTTCTAAATTTCATTTTATAGTGCTTTAATCATAGTTTCACATGAAGTATCAAATAAAAATAATCACCTTTTGCTTCTTCTCCCCTCAGGAACAGCAGATGGAGATGAAGTAAGTGTATATAAAATATTGTGTATATATAAATACATAATAAAAAAGCTAAAACTTCTGTTCTGGAATATAATCCTCAATCACTACATGTTTGGTGCCTAATACTTAATAGCCATCTTTTGACTGCCATTCAAACCATATTGCTCTGCAGATATTTTGGTAGCAGCATTTACTGGTGGGTGGTTTATTTGGTAATAACATGACTTGTTAATTTATTTATTGTCACCTGCAGGGTTTGTGGCTACTGTCTTGCACAAGTTTTTCCCAGTCAGATCTTTTGGGACTATATTTCCAAGCCTGACCATTCATTGGTCATGTTTTCTAAGATTAATGGAAGCTGAAGTTCACACAGTCTGGAGGATAATAAGTTGGGGAAAGTTGGTGTTCTCTTATTTAGGATTACATCTGTTCATAAAGATTTGTACATTGTGTCATGTTCCAGGTGGCTAGAGTTTAACCAAGTGCTTCCCGACCTTTGGGCCTCCCGGTGTTTTGGACTTCAACACCCACAGTTCCTAACAGCTGGTAAGATGGCTGGTATTTCTGGGAGTTGAAGTCCAAAACACCTGGAGGCCCAAAGGTTGGGAACCACTGGCAAACACAGGAGGACCTAAGACCAGATTTACTTAAATGGAGAACTAAAACCTTGATCTTTCAAAAGTCTGTCTAACAAAACAGAAATACAGCAAACAGTTAAAGAAACACAAATTAAGGTCAGAAAGCCCACCTAACACCGAGAGTACTACAAAGCCAATTTAGGAGCAAGAACAAACTGTAGCTACGCCTGCAGCCCAAAAGTCAAAGCCCGAGCCAAACAAGTTGTTGACCATCTCAGGGAAGGTCAGACGGCTTCTTTCAGGCAGCCAGGTCAGATTATTCCTTTCCAAACACTTAACAGCAGCTGAACCAGACCAGACAAACTGCAGGCAATGACACATGCTATATGACCATGTCTGGATTGAAAATCAATATCCAGTTGTGCCATTATGGAGAGGGAAGAAGGGTGCTGGTTAAAATGATGTTGTTGTTGTTCATTCGTTCAGTCGTTTCCGACTCTTCGTGACCTCATGGACCAGCCCATGCCAGAGCTCCCTGTCGGCCGTCACCACCCCCCTCCTTCAAGGTCAATCCAGTCACTTCAAGGATACCATCCATCCATCTTGCCCTTGGTCAGCCCCTCTTCCTTTTTCCTTCCATTTTCCCCAGCATCGTCTTCTCTAAGCTTTCCTTTCTTCTCATGATGTGGCCAAAGTATTTCATCTTTGTCTCTACTATCTTTCCCCCCAATGATACAGGAGGAGAAAGCATAGCAATATATGTTGTGACTAAACCTCTATAGAAAAACAAGTAAACAACAATTAGTGTGTACAAACATTCAAAGACTGTTATATATTGTTACTTTGTTACAATTGAACAGGATATTTTTTTTTCTCATTCAAGTGCATTTTATATCTGTCAACATCTTTTTCTTCCTTTTGAAATAGAATCAAAATGATGATGGTGAAACGTATGAAGACATAAATGAAATGAGGTATGAAATATGCACCTGGAGTGCCATATACAGTAATTATGAGATTTGGAGGGCATATCATTGGTATTTCTTACAAAAGATTGATAAACAGATCTAAAATTTCTTACTGTCTTGTAGAATGAAGGGCACACATGCACACACACACACCTAAAACACTGAGCACCAAACAGTGAAAATATTTCAGACACACTTCCACCCACAAAAAAAAAGGTTTAACAGGTTACAAATAGAACCACAAACAGAAGGGCATTTTGGAGACACCCTTCATTGTATTTCAGATTGTATTACTCAGTAGATGTTTATTAGCTTGTCTGCTGGGTTCAAACATCAGTCCCTTTTTATTTTGCAGACCTACCGCTAAAGAGGATGAAAAGAAAAAAGAGAAGGAGGAAAAGAAAAGATCTGATCAAGAGAAGAAAGAACAAAAAGAAAAAGAGAAAAAAGAACAAGAGACTAGAAAAAAGTTCAAAGTAAGGTCTCATACTGGCAAGTTAAGTATTACTAAACAACACTGTGTATACTATTTAACACTTGATATTTTATTTATTTGCAAAACATAAAGCCAATTCATATTGCAGTAGCAGCACAAAGCCTGAATAAAGTTATGGGAATAAGCAATGTGTTCATTCATTGAATTCTTTATACATTTATGTATCATTTATTTAAAATAATGCTATAATTATAGTAAAAGCACAACATAAGAACAGAGTCTTTGCCGTTTGATCTTTATTATTAATTATTAATATTATTAATTAATATATTATTATTATTATTATTATTATTATTATTATTATTATTATTATTATTATTATTCCCTTCCTGGCCATGTAAACCACCTGGGGTAACCTTGAGCATGTCACACACTCTTAAACCTAGCCACTCCCACTTCTCCAAAAATGAAGCTCACCTTTTTTTCCATCATGACCTGAAAGAAAAGATTAGATCCAAAGCTTCTGCTTTTAGATTAACCATAGTTTAAAATGTTCGATGACCCCTAAACTGTCATTAAGTGTGTGCAGAAAGGGAAAAATGTAAAATGTAAAATGTAGTATAAGAGCAGTTTTATTTTGTCCAGGTTTACATGATGCTGCCAGTATAGATGAGACCAGGCATGGGCTAACTTTTGCCCTCCAGATATTTTGGACTTCAACTCCCACAATTACTAACAGCTTATCGGCTGTTAGGAATTGTGGGAGTTGAAGTCCAAAACACCTGGAGGGCCAAAGTTTGCCCATGCCTGGATTAGACAAAGATGGAAAGGAAAAATTCTTATGGCTGAGACAGAAAAGGAGGAGAAAGTGCACGAGTTTTGGAAAAGACAAGGCTCATTTTTGTACAAAACCAAACTAAATTAATGTTTCAATTACAGATGTGTCACAGCTCATTATACTCTCTATTGAAGTTTTGAAGTTTAATCACGAAACACAGCTAGATACCTGGTGCTTTTTTGTACAATCCTTATGCTTGTTTTGTCCAGTTGGTGGGTCCCATTGAAGTCATTCACCAGGCAAGAGCTTGCACAGACTTCAAAGGAGGGAAGAATGATCTGTCGTTCAGACAAGGAGATCGAATTGAAATAATCCGCATCACAGACAATCCAGAAGGAAAATGGCTGGGAAGAACACGAGGCTGCTGTAGGTATAAGGCACATAAGTGATGTCAGTTTATAGTCATCCCTAGGCTGGATTTACACTGGCCTATTTCCCAGGATTTGATTCCAGATTAACTTCTTTGAATGGATTATATGAGTCTACACTGCCAGATAATCAGGGATAAGAAGATAATCTAGGAACAGATCCTGGGATGCAGAGCATTATAGACCCAGCCTGAGTCAAGCTCAGCTTGTTTTATTTCCCAAATCAAGTCTTTTAGGTTAGACTTCCACCTGTGTTGAACTTTTTATTGCTCTCATTATTGTGAAAGATACAGGTCGGATCACAATTTATTGTGAAGTTCCAAAATTTAAAAAGCACATCTTTAGTACTCAATGTTCTGTGTTTTAGATGGCTACATTAAAACAACAATGGTTGAAATTGACTACGATTCACTAAAAAGGAAGCCACAAGCCTCCATCAACATTCGCCCAAGACAGCAAGACAGTGACCAAGAAGTGTATGATGATGTTGGGGACCAGGACACCATCAGCAGGTACAGCCAAGGTAGAAAGGGTGGTAGATTCCCATGTGGCCAAAGACCACAGATGCCAATTCTAGTAAGGTTTATATTGTGGTCTAGTTTGTTCATTTTTCCTCCGTACTTAAAACAGCAAGTGATGAGGAAATTGTTGCTCGGCAGACCTGTTCCTTGGTAAGGAGGAAACTTTTTTTTTATTTTTCAAATGTATTTGTTCTTGTACTAAATTGTTACTTAAGCATCCCCAAGAAGTACTGGGCTGTGTATATCATTTTCCTGCTTTTTTACTATTCAACAATGCTGTGAAGTAAGTTAGATAAAGAGAAAGGAATGGAGGGAGAGATGAAGCACAATCATCCAATCCTGGCAGGCAGTACAGGGTGACGACAAAGACAAAGACAAACAGACTGAGAGGTAGTGTTTATCCTAGAGCTGTGGCTATGTTGAACTCAAAGGTTTCACATTGATGTGGCATTGGGGGCTGTGTTGTTTTGTGGCATGTGCTGGGGAAGGCATTTAATTTCGTTGTTCAATAGCACAATGGCAATAAAGCTATTCTATTCTAGTCTGTTCTGAATGTTGTGATCTGAATGTGGGTTTCACCATTTCAAATCAAACTAAGCAGCTTTGGGTTCTGCATTTATCCTTTTCATCCAGGGATAATCTATCAATGTAAATTTTTAAAAGGTACAGTACAACCCTTGAAAACTGCAGCAGTTTACATTTTCCTGTGGCTGTTGGGAAATGCAAGATTCCATCCCCTCAGCTCCTCTCTTTCCTGCAGATTGAACTGAATGTAAACTGTTTTTACACCTCAGACTCAATTTGCAACAATTAAAGTAAGCTGAGAACAAGAGAGAGGGCAGTGAATGGAGGAAAAAGAGACGGAGACATCTTAAAAGCAGCTGAAAATGTGGTACATCAAAAAAATAATTGAGATAGGGAAGGTGTGCAACAAATGGAAGATAATTGATATCTCACACCTTCATTTGTGTGTGAGAGAGTATATGTATATATTTCTTGACTTATTTTTCTTTCTTTTCATGGTCAAAGTGGAAGTCAGAGTACCACAGGAAGTAAGTTTTTCTTTTATTGCCATCTTGTTATATAAAAATTAAAATATGTATGTCTTTCACTCCGTCCATCCTTCCTTCCATCTTTCCCTACTCATCCAGCTGTTTCTCAGACTATTTCTTAGCTACCATCAAACATTAGCATAACCAAGTACTGAAAATCAGAGTTGGATAATTATATGAATGCAGACCAGCAGCAATTTGATTGTCAACTATGATATACACTACAGATTCAGCTCTTAAAATATTGCAATACCTATTTCATTATCCATATGTAAATACTTGACCATCATAGGTCAAAACTCAGTAGAACTGAATTTTGAGTAGACATGTATGTAAGCCCTGCAAATATTTTAAGACACATAATTTGGCTTTTCTGTAGTTCTTTATATTTTTTTACAGCCTCATATTTCCTCCCCTCCCCCCTCACAATATTTTATTTATTTATATTCTGTCCTTCTCACCCTGAAGGGTACTGAGGGCGGATCACAGAACACATATATGGCAAACATTCAGTGCAGTTATACACTGACAAGACTGGCAATTGTACATAGAGGCATATACAGGCTTTCCCCATCTTTGGCATCTTAGAGGCATGTTCTCGGTTCCAGCCATGGGGGTGGGGGAGGCGTGCTGTCGCTCCATCTTCCCTGCCAAAGAGCTTTGTTTGGAAACTTCCTCCTTCATTAAATTGCCGGCATTTTCTGGCATTTCCTAATGGGTGCCTTAAAGACCTCCCCACTTTAAGTGGTACTTATTTATCTACTCAAAGTTTGCTTACAAGCTGCTAGGTAGGCGGAAGCTGGGCTAAAAACTAGGAGCTCATTCCGACCCAGCCTTTGAACTGTCAATCTTTCAATTGGCAAGATTTACTGCAGCTGGTGGTTAACCCGCTGTGCTAAAGCCTGGCCCTTCTGTGCTAAAGCTTGGCATTCTCTCAAATGTTCTGGCTTCAAGACAGGTTAATTTATGTTGTAGAGACTTAATTTTTAGTGTTCTTTTCCTTCCATTTATTAGTGGGATTTCCGCCTCCTCCGTCCCCTGATATCTATGATGGAGTTGAGGACGATGACAATGTACCAACAAAGTAAGTATGAAGATAAAGTAAATGTGATATATAAAATGAGCAGTAGCTAGTGGATGCATCTGTCTTTAAAATGTTTAACTCGGGATAAGATTTGTTGAGCAGGAGGTTACTATCAGTAATACATAAAAAATATAGGTACTCATTACTTTGGGTATCCTTTGCACCCAAAGAAGTATGGAGTACTTCCAAGAGTTACATTTTACATTGTCAAAGCCATCTGAGGAAACTTGTGTAGACCAAGACAAAAGCTTCTGCTTCAATTGATTTCTCTCAATTAGTCTTGAAAGAGCTACAAGATCCCTTTGCATTTAATAATGTGTTTTTCAAATTGTGAGTAAAAACCTGCCAAGTGATAATTGCATGCATACTCCAAAGGTCTGTGTCACAGGATGAAGATAAAGGTGATTCCTGGATTTTGAAGATTTTGAAAGGAAAAGATTTCCAAAAGAAAAGTGTGCGAGAGACAACTCCTAAAGAAGATAATCGAGGTTCCCCGTAAGAGACTGCTGTGAATAAAACCCCAAAATGTTCCCTAAAACTAATAGCTAATATAAATGTGGATCATATGCTACTAACAATTCTCACAGCAGCCTAACCAGCCACATAATCAAGCCACCTATCAAATAACCCAAGCTATAAAAACATTTAAAGCCAAGCCGCGTTCTATCCTTGACTACCTGTTGCCTTAAGTCACAGCTTCACCATGAGACAAAACAAGAAGGCTGCTTCAGATGGCAAACTCTTGATGTCATTTTAGGTAGTTGGTACAATGTAAATGTGAGAGATGAGTCTCACTCCACTATCCTTGCATGGCTTCAATTTCATTTGAGTTCACACAGGATTGCTTCCTGGTGGGTCACAACATGATACATACTAATTAATGGAAAACAGGGGAATTGCATTGGATTCTGCCTCAAACAACAGCATTTGGACCAATGATTTATCTGAAAAGCACATTTTGAGCCAAGTTTTCTTCTGTTGCCATTTATTTTTTTATGTGAAATAGATGTCCTCAAAATGGATGATTCATAATTTCATGTATTCAAGGCACTGTAAGCATTCATGTAATGAAATTATTTTTGCAGGAATTCTTTTTTGAGATATCAGGAGACTTTAATATCAAAGAAAAAATTAGCCTCATTTTGGGAAAAACACTTCAATATATTCTAGAGCAGGCCTGTACAACCTAAGCCCTTCAACTGTTTTGGCCTCTAAGTCCTAGAAGCCATAGCCAACTTGCCCAACGGCCAGGAATTCTGAGAGTTGGAGTTGGAGGCCAAAACAGCTGGAGAGCTAGAGATTGTGCTGGCCTGTCGTAGAGTCTGTCTGTCTTCTTCTTCTTCTACTACTACTACTACTACTACACCCTACTTTATCTCTCTCCCCCCCCCCCCCACAAGGGAAATGATACAGCGCCTATATTTGTCTAAGTCTGATTTAAACAAGTACATTTATCAGAATGGATGCAGGTAGTGTTTGGAAACAGTTTGATCTTTTTGTGAAATGAAAATTCTCTTTAAATTGTCTCGGAAGGAGTAGCTTTTATGTCAAATCCTTATAACTTAGTTATTTATCTCTTCAAGTGAGAGTAGTTTATATCCATCGTATTCTGCATTTAGGGTATTCTGTACCCTAAACGCAAAGGTTGGAAAAGTTACTTTCTAGAATCTTAATGCCTCAAATGGACACTTTTGAGACATCATAGTCGTGTAGATTCTGGCATTTGTGGTCCTCTTTTCTAGCCTCTCTTTATAGGACAGGACAGGAAAAACAGTGGTTTAAATGAAATATTTCAGTGGTAGAACATGTACAAAAGTCCCAGATTCAACCTTTGGTTTCTCTGATCCAGTGTTTGAAAAGAATCGTGAGATATTTAAAAAATGGATAATGGAAACATTGAAATAAGGTGGTTGAATATTTTCCATGCCGTGGCACAGACATTAATCAGAACAGAGGCCCTATCTACACTGCTTTATAAAATCCAGATTATCTGATTTGGATTATATGGCAGCGTAGACTCCTATAATCCAGTTCAAAACATATAATATGGATTCTCTGCTTTGATAATCAGGATTATGTGGCAGTGTAGATCCAGACAGACATTACAGTCAAAAATTAAGGACATTAGATCTTGGAAGGGTTTCTATGAAGAAACTTCTTAAAGATCCTGAAGTGCAAAGATGTCAATGAGTTAGGATGTATGGTGGCAGGTAAGACCACTGGATTTCACCCATAAGGAATCATGGTTTTGCCTGTGAAGATTCAACCTAAAAAAAAGTAAATCCTGCTATGCATATCTTTGATTGGAATCGGTCATATGATAAGGAATGATTAATACAATTCATTTACAATTGTATTTCACTTCCTCACAGGGGTCCTACACATACGCAAATAGGAAGAGGTAAGTAAAGACATCCAAATATTCAGCTTCTCTTATGATTCTGATTGAGCTAGTACACACTTTATGCTGATACTAGCTTCTCTCTTCTCTCTTTTTTCTTTTTCTTTTGATTTTAGCCTGGATTGTCAAATAGAAAATCCCAGCCACAAAATGCTTTTGGTCAAACCCTGACACATTTCCTATAATGGCCAGAAAATATAAATGTTTCTTTCTTTAAAAACTTTATTAAAGTTTCAAAAGTTACACTAAAAAATCAAAACAGTGAATAAAAAATAAATATAGAGTATAAAAAGTAGAATACTAAGCAAAAGAAAAAGAAAAAAGGAAACAAAAAGAAATTATAAATGATCTCTGATCTATCCTGGCTAAAAGAAAGCAACATAGGCTTCACCCTCCAGGCATCCCAATGTTGACTCCTTTTTCAAGCAATCCTGCCCCCTCAAATTATTCATCAAAACTCAAAACTGGCAAGTCCTTCTCTTCCTTGTACAAAAAGTGAACAAAAGGTTTCCAGTCTTTCAATTTTTTCCAATGCCTCTTTTAGTAAAAGACAGGTTAGTCTCTTTCAAGTTTTAACATAATGTAAATTTGAACCCCTTGTTTCACATTTTCTCCTAATGGTTCAACATTATATTGTGCCCAACATTTTGTGCCCATTTTGTCATGCATCTTATCTTGCTTATCTGCCATTTCCCATTTCAATAACATTGTTGTAAATTTTCATTTACAACTACTTGTGCTGTCTGCCTGGTTTCAATTGATTTTATCCATTTGATGAAATTATCTCCAAAATCCATTTGCTCTAATACCTTAAACATAACTAGTGGATATTAATGTCAAGATAAGTGATTTTAATGCTTTTGTATGTGTATGATCTAATATGTTTCGGCATTGAATGTTTGCCATTTATATGTTGTGCTCCGCCCTGAGTCCCCTTCGAGGTGAGAAGGGTGGAATATAAATGCTTTAAATAAATAAATAATAAATAAATGTCCAATTCAGTTTATCAAAGGCTTTTTCTACGTCTAAAAAAATCAAGGCCACTTGTTTTTCATTATGAATACTCCAAAATATCCAATACATTCCTTATGTTGTCTTGTAGTTGTCTTTCAGGTTATGATCTGAAATGGTTTTAGGTAGGATTTCCATTTTAGAACTTGCCTTGTAAGTTTGGCAGATCTCCATATCATATCCATTCTAAAGAGAGTCTTATGTCTTTCTGAAAAATATGTATATTCTTTAACATCCACATTTACATGTCTCCATATTCCCACCACTCCCAGCATTTCCATTATGTCAAAGCAAACTTTGAGGTCTTTACTTTGTGTTGGTTAACTGTTTTCCCATAGAATTTGTCTTTCTTTGGAGTTATCATTCCTTTCACCCATAAAGCACCAGTTTTCATAATGAAAGTCCTATAACTTTGTAAAGAGTTCTTTAAAAAAAATCTCACGTTGTTATTTGGAACATAAATCCCAACTATTGAAGTTTTTAATCCTTGTGTAGATATTTCAACCGCTACATTTCTACCTTTATCATCAGAAAGTATCAGTTTTGGGTTCAGTTGTAGTTTGATGTAAAGAAATTCTTCTCCACTGTGCATTAAATTTAGCCAGCAAATCCTTCTTTTGGTTCTGGAGTTTTGAAAACTGAGGTGTGCATTACATTCTATGGTGCACTAGAGCCGAGTAAATACAGTATTTTTGAACCAAAATTATAATGAGCCTGCAAGACACGATCTCTGTCTCTGTCTCTTGGTAATATATTTTATTTTGCAGACCAAGATTTGATTCTATATATAGCAACATGCCTATGTGATAGTCAACAAAGTCTTTAAGTTGTTGGAGCCATTTGAAGTTGTCAACATCTACAAATGCTCCTTTGCAAACACATGGGCCCTAATCCAACTCAGCATGTAAACTTAATATGTATAGAAGAGGAACAAAGAAGCCATAGTTCATAGTTAAAACATGGGTCTGATATAGTTTTAACAAATGTTTAACCCTTTAAATTGTTCATTTGATATCAGAAACATTATATACATATTTAGAATCGCTATAAAACGGTACAAGAAAATTATCTGCTACAGATTTCCTTTATTTTTGCTTTTAATAATGATTTCTTTTAGAATCTGGAGACAGTGATGTTTATGATGATGTAGAGCCAACAGATTTCCCTCCTCCTCCAAAAGAAACAAGGTGAGTGAGGGACGAGATTTGTGGTAGGAGTTGGGGGGGGGGGGGCAAGATGGAGGGAATAGTCTTATTGAACAGGATAGTTGCATAAAGAAAAAACAATGGGAAGGGAGAGAATTATTTCATCTACTACATCTCTCTTCTCTGTCTGCCCATCTACCTGTCTAAACACAATTCCCATGTGTTAATTCACTTTACTCTAAATACCACTATAGCAGTTTGCATACCATAGTATGGCATCATGGCCAACAGCTCCCAAAAGCAAGCAGGAGTAGTTCAGAAAATCACAAATAAATCCCCTGAATACTGGTGGAGTTGTGGCATTGGAATGAATCACCTTATGCTGTGCCACTGGGTGCCTGGGGGTGCAGTACCCATTGATTAGACAGACATGCCAGATTAAATGTGGAGGCTCACTTCTCACAAAGATATGTGTATAATTATTTTGATAGATGAAGGATGCATCAAGCTGATCTAAGGCCCAGCCATGATCAAATATGGCAACATCACCACCACACACACACACCGCCGTCCCTGCCACTTTAAGGGTTCATCTATGCTGCAGCTGGTCACTTCTTTGAAGGCCAGGAATTAATGTTTCATATTCTCCAACATTTCACAAATGAAACCCCGGACATATATGGTCAGCATCAGTGTGATCAAGATGGCAAAAGCTAAAATTGAGGAAGAATAGAGGCTGAAACATTTCACTTTTTCTTATGTCTATTGGGAAGGGCAAGATTTTCCCCCCACTTCTCCCTGTTCTTGAGTTCAGTTTTAAACTTCTAACTCACTTTGTAGCCACTGGAGTAAGCAAGAAACTAAATAAAAAGTGGGAGAAAGTCAAATGGAAATGTTGTAAGCAGCTGAAATTAGTGGGATGAAAGAGGAATACTCTGCACTGCCCCTGTTAAACTGGGACAGTTGAAGGGTATGATATAGCCAGTGATGTGGAGTGCTGTGGGTTAACTGAATTGACACCTGGTAGTTAGCATATTTTCATGTCCCCTGTTAATTTTGGGCTTGGGTTGTTGTAGGTTTTTCGGGCTATATGGCCATGTTCTAGAAGCATTGTCTCCTGATGTTTCACCTGCATCTATGGCAAGCATCCTCACATCCTCTGACCTCAGAGGATCTATGGCAAGCATCCTCTGATCTGAGGATGCTTGCCATAGATGCAGGTGAAATGTCAGGAGAGAATGCTTCTAGAACATGGCCATAAAGCCCAAAAAACCTACAACAACCCAATGATTCCAGCCATGAAAGCCTTCAACAATTTTGGGCTTGTTAGAAAGAACAATCAGTGAGAGGATTGTGTTAGGCTACTGCTAGACTACTGTTAATTATACAATGGGTTGCATGAGTTTTATATTGGCAGGCAGGTAGAAATTTAAGGAGAGGAGAAGAAGGCGAACAAATGTATAAGGACATGAGTATATGTGCCTATGGCCATTGTGAATAAGCCACCATTCAGAAATGGGGTACTGAAAAGGGGGACTGTTTTCTTGGAGAAGAACACAAGGCTGGAAAGTACTAGGCATTGGAGAAGAATGTACAATCCATTTTATGTAATGTTTAATAAAACTTATGAAGACGATACAGGGCAGAATCCTTAAACCTGGCATGATGCCTGATATAAACATTATTCATCATGCAGAATAGATATTCTTCTCCCCATACAGCTGATAGCCACTAAAATTGGTTGTGGGAGGACTTACAATTGTGGCAATTGTGCCACAGATAAGATAAAATAGTGAAACAGTTATTTGCTATTTGCGATCACTTTTTAGTCATGATTGTCACAATTATATTTTCCTTCCAAATCCACTTTACCAAGCATTTGTTGCATAAGGAGAAAGAGACCCATTCTGTTGGTAACTGGAGTGTGGGTGAATGACATTTTCATCAAGTCTGTGAGAATAATTTAATTAGTTAAGTCACTGATAAAGGATTCAAGCCAGAAATAATATTTATAGCATTCTGTAAACTGTTCATTTGCATATTGATAATTTTGCTGTTTGATTTTGTTTCGTTTTCAAATTTGTTTAGCTTGGGGATAAATATAAAGCCTTCAAGCTTTGGAAAAGCCAGATCAGATGAGCGTGATTCACAAAAAGTAAAGAAGATAGAAAAGGAAGAGAAAGAATTCCGCAAGAAGTTTAAAGTCAGTATTATGGTGGTTTTTTTTTATTTGTACTCCATCTTCAGGCACCTAATATAAAACAGAAAGATAAAATGTTTTAAACAAAAGTGGTATAAAACATCAACCATAAACAGAAACATATCCAATTTCTAATATTGCAATGATTCAAAAATCGCATCATGAGACTTAATTAAGTTTGCCAAAAACACCCAGGTCTTTGTTCAGCTGCTTAAAATTGAGAAATGAAAAAGCCAGATGGGTCTGTGGGAGAATGGTGTTTCCAACTCTGAAAGGGTACAGCTGGCATAGAGATTCAGCTGGTAAGCAAAGCACTCCAATCCAGCGCCTGACAGCCAAGAGTGATGATGCTTGAGCACCCTATGTGTATGTGTGCATGTGCCTTCAAGTTACCTGTCAACTTATGGTGACCTAATTAATTTCATAGGATTTTCCTAAGCAATGAATATTTGGAGACTGTTTTGTTTGTTACTTCCTCTGAAATATGGCCTACAGCATCTGGTATTGATTGGTGGTCTCCTATCCAAGTACTAACCTATTTATTTATTTATTTATGACATCTCACCCCGAAGGGGATTCAGAGTGGCTTACAAGACATATATACATACAATATATTATATTATTAGCATAGTACAATATCAGTATTGTGTATTACTATATTGTACTATCCCATTATATTGTAAAGTTTTTAGTAATATTACATGTAATATAAAATATATAATTATAATATTGTATTATTATTATTATTAATAGTAGTAGTAGTAGTATACTGTATTATATTATAATATTATAAATATTATATGTATATACAATATATTATATTGAATTATATTATATTATTAGCATAGCACAAGAGACAAGGTGGAACTATCTTCCTGGCTTCCATCTTTCTTCACTGTAGTCAGAGCAGGCAAAGCTGATCCAATTTATCTTCCAAGAGATCTTTGATTTAACTTTCTTTTTTCTCCTATAGTAGAGGCCTTTATATTCAATCCTGAATCATTCAAACTCACTTTGGTCAGTTTTATTGAATTGTGGCCAGTTGTAAGCCACCCTGAGTCCCCCCTCGGGGGTTGAGAAGGACAGGATAGAAATGTTGGAAATAAATAAATGTTGGAAATTATTTAACCCAGTCCATCAAATATACTTGTTCAGAAGTTCACAATTCCTCTACATTAGAACCATCAGTTCATGGTCTATATTACATCCTTGACCACTTGCTATCTAGCCTTTGTGCCATGGGAGTCAGGCATCAACTGAGATGCCAGGCAGTGGTGGTGGTATCATTTTGATACATAATGGGTATCATTGAGGAAGTGGATGAAGTTTTCATAGCTTCCATTCTCCAGTGCTCTTAATGGGGATCACTGGACAGAGAATAAAAACCTTTATCTCCTACAGTCTCAGTAGTCTTCATGGACCCAAGAATCATGTTCCCAGGCATCAGTGGACATTGTTTTATTTCAACCTTCCCATCTCTGTCTTAATATATGGAGTGCAAATGGTATATCTTAATATGTGGAGTGCAAACAACTCTCTACCTGCCACTGTAGGCATTATTTTGATTCAAAGGATGATTCAAATGAAAAAAGAAAGAGAAGAATGTGTGCAAAGAGTTTGACTTTCTCTCCCTCAACCCTGTAGCACAGACCAAAACAGGATCACATCTAGCTAATTTAAAGTGAAAATGAAATTAAATGTGTAACCTTGAATGGCAGGGCGTTGATCTCTTTCAAGATTATGAGCTCATCCTACTGTAAGTTTCTATAATTTTATGAAATGTCGGAGGCTTGAATAAAAGCATGTTGCACAAGGCTTGTTCCCTTGTTTAAAACAAGCCACATTTTTTTTGTTGAAATGTCAAAACAGCAGGTTTTTGGAAAATACAAAACACTGGATCCTTTCCCTTACAAGAGCTGCAGATAATTTTTAATGTATTAGCTTAGAACAGGGTTGGAAGACATGTGGCCCTTCAGAAGTTGGGCTGAAACTCCCATCAGTGCAAGCCAGATTATACAGTGGTGCAGAATGGAAGGCTACACATTTCCTAATCCTAAATTCAGTGCAGGTTACTAGGGAACTTGTCCTTCTGAACTCAGTGGAACTTCCAGAGCCATTTATTTACAAGTATAAAATTATGCTTAAGCAATAACACCTAACAGCCTACTTATTTGGAAATCTGAAATTATTAGGATTTTTAGATGAGTAAAAGGTTAGCCTTTGTTGCCAGATTGTACACTTTACTGCTTAGGAGTAAGTGTTCCAAGTTGCTCGATGAGAATTCCTCTCCAGTGACCATATTTAGAATTAGATTGTTTATTTGGAATATTTTTATATATATATATATATATATATATATATATATATATATATATATATATAATATGGCTACAAAACCTTTTTAAATTTTTAAAAAATCAGTCCCATAATATAAACATCTCTTTATTTCCCTTGGGAAAAATTATGTGGAAGTGGTGTATTTCCCTATTACAAATATGGTCAGTCAAACTTGTGTTATGACTGTAAGAGGAAGTTATTTAGTTGTCTCGGGAGAGTTTTTTGAGAACTTGATCCAGAGGAAGTGCAAGCCTTACTATTAAGATCATTATACATAATCTCAGTATAGCACATTTCTGTAAACAAAGCAGCATACAGTTCTGCATAGTACCATAAACTTTCCCTTGCCTGCTTGTCTACTGGATGATCACATAAATCAGAGAACACAATTTAAATAGAACTCTATTGTGTGGTAGATTAACATGAGGAAATAAAACAAATAGGGCTCAAACCAAAGACCTATCTAGTTCAGTTTTCTGCTCCCACAGCAACCAACTAGATGCCTTTGGGAAAACTAAAACTGGACATGGAAGCAATAGTGCGCATTTTTGCATTTATGATCTCTAGCAGATGGAATTAGATGCATATTGTCTTTGGTTCTACAGGTTATATACTGTAACAGAGATGCAATTAGCCAAAAGAGAATTTTCCTTCATTACATGAAATGACGCTTAAGTGTTTGGACCTATTCAGAGAACAGAGGAGGTTTTTTTATAAACATTATAGCACAATATAATAAAATAAAATCTTATTTAAAAAAAGGAACCATCCCCTTCTTGGAGCAGAGAAGTGAAAGCTGAGATCTTATTCCATCCTAAAAGAAGCACTAACCCTTTGTGCTGTCTCACCGCTTCTTTAATGGGAAGCACCAAAGAGCCATGGCCATCATTTTTCCACCCAAGAATCCAAAAAGTCAGAAGCAGCACTTTGGGGAAGACAGCAGAGTGGATTAGTGCTTTCTTTCTCCCAGGATGGACTAAGTTTTTGCCTTTTACCACTCTACTTAAAGAAGGAGTGTTCCTTTTTTTTTTTTTTTGGTCAAGAGTACACAGCACTGACAATGTAAATAAACTGAAAGGTTACTAGAGGTATGTAAAATGCCAAAAATCTGTTTTGTTTTGAAATATGACATTCATGTTTAGAAATTTCTAAGAATTTCTAAACAATCATAAGGGGTCTGTTTTATTTCAAATTTGAAATTCCAAAAATATATTAGTATTTTGGTTTGTTGTTCCACCCATTCACATCAGGGCTTGTTTCTCTGCTATTTGTATGGCTATTATGATGAAATTTTCTACAACTGGAAAACACATGTATGACTGTAAGCCCCTTAAGATTAAGAACGTTTTGCTGATCCATTAAGTTTTGGGAATTATTTACAAATAACATTTTTCTATAAAAACTAAAAAAGCTATCCCATTTAATTTCTCTACAATGACACAACTAACCAGGACATTACTCCTCTAAAGTTTCAGAAAGATTTGCACATCCATTGATTGTTTGTTTTGTTTTGTTTTTCAAATTCAGCACTTTGGCCAAGTCTCCTTCTCAGCCTTACAGAACTGAGTTAACACACTCAGAAACCAAACCAAACCAAACCAAAAATGAATCCTTGGGAGAAAAAACCCCACACATGTAAAGAAAATTATTCTAAATGGATTCTAAGTTGTAGCTGTCTGCTAAACTAAAAGGAAATGATCCTAACAGGATGTAAAGACCAACATCAGTAGCCGGGGCTCCGCCTACTCTTTTCTTCTCTCCTTCTGCCCTGTTCAGTTGAGAGGTGCATGTGATGGAGCAAGTTTCGCTGCGTCTCCCGAGAGAGTTTGCTTGCATTTGCAAAAGAAACTGAGTCATGGAGACTTATGAAAAAATGAAATTATTCCGAAACTTTCGGAAAAATGTGTTTTATTTCATCTGTGTTCGTCAGGGGGAGACTCTGGCCTCATAAGTACAAAATGTCCATATGTACAAAATTCTGTGGAAGTACTTACGACTTATGAAGGCATCTTAAATTTTGCACTGCTCTAGTAGTTACACAAGCCATCACATAACTTCTCTGTTATGATCTATAATTCCATAGCTTACCTAGAACAACGAGCAGCATACTGGTTTGTATCCTGACTCTATAATAATATACTAATATACTTTATTTATATTATCGATGTAGTCTGAAAATCTTGCTCATAATAATTAAGATGGAAATGTTGAGAGTGTAGTGCAACTAATTGTTTTCTTTTCACAGTTTGAAGGTGACATTCGTGTTCTTTACAGTACAACCATCTCACGAGCACCATCTCTGAAAAAAAGGGGCTCAAAGGACCTGCCAGTGAAGCCAGGAGAATCTGTTGATGTTATCAAAAATGTGGATGATACTAAAGTCTTGTGTAGAAATGAAGAAGGAAAATGTAAGTACCAGAACACAGGTGCCTTAAAGCCATTTTGGGTGAAACACAGAAATGTAGAGATTTTTTTCCATTTTGACATTTTTTTTCCACAGCGATCTTGTAGCTCCAACACCCATGACTGTGGAGGGTCAACTGTTTTTCTCTACAAAATTAACATTGTTCATTGTTCATATATTACCATTGTTCACATATACAAATACTGAATAATGCACATTTCTGCCTTCAGAAGGCCTACGGGAATTTTTGGGCAATTTGTTAAATCAATATAAAATTTGCTAATTTGTTAATATCAATATAAAAGGAAACTGTTTCCAGCTCTAAAAAGATGCCTGCCAGTTCTATGATGTATACACCTTTCAGATAAGGGACATCTCTTATATAAGAAGGAACACCTCACAACCATACACAGAAAATGGAAATATGATGGCATAAACCATCCTAAATTTTGAATTCAAGAGCACATCTTTACATTTCAGCATCTTTTCTAGTTTCTTCACAGCTGCCATTTTAAGTCCTAGATTTCTTCTGATTTCTTGACTGCAGCCACCATTCTGATGAAGGCTGGAAACAAGGACGTTAAGAATATATGTGGGGGGGTTTTTTTAATCCTAGCTATGTAAGTGGCATCTTGTTTTTATTTCAGTATTTCATTGCCTTTCAAGCTTTCAGGCAATACCCAGTAAATAAAAACAGATAAAACAAGTGAAAACAGTGTGATTTTCCTGGTTGTTGTTTTTTTTAAATACCCTACGTGGCATCCTGAACACAGATTTACTTGACATAAAGTAGCATTAGTCATTATGGCTTTTTTATGAATAGTAGACATCTTCAGGATTAATACTGGGAGTATTTATAGTGGAAAAGTCCAGTGTATATGTTTTAAGTCTACACAGTCTCTTCTTTAGGGGATATTGCATATTTTTACTCTCAAAGGAATGCATTTTTATCGTTTTAATAATGCTAGTTCTCTGGCAGTCAGTTCTCCACAGCATCTGGTTGGCTAACTGAGAAAAAAAAGACTTGCTTCCTTTAGTCTTTCTTTCTTTCTTTCTTTCTTTTTTTCTTTCTTTCCACTTTCTTTACAAAAGAAAATTCATATTTATGCAACTCGGGTTTTTGCAAAACATGCAAACATAAGATACATCAGTTGAGATTTTTACAATAACTGAAAATGCAAATAACTACAACTTTTTTTAAAAAAATCAGTTTTAAAATGTTGGTAATTTTTTTCTGGCAGCAGATCAGCTCTACACAAACAGAAAACTATGCATAATCCCTCACCCCAAGACATTCTTCACATTCCTTTGATAGTGAAACTAATGACAAAAGCTGTTGCTTAGCTATCCAGGGAACAAATGAGCAAACCCCACCCTCTCGCACAAGGCCTGAACATCTGCTTTGTCAGCTTTCACAGAAATTGCTAGTGACTAAAACTGCTTGTTGCCTTTTCTGATTTTGTCCTAATTATCCATAGTCTGGGTCTGATTTTGAAGGTGGTTCTGAAACTTTGCCTGGCACAGAACACAGTGGCCCAATTGTCTACACAGGGACTGTTTTATATTGTGATAGCTTAACTCAAACGCCCCAACTGATCCATTTTGGTAGAAATCATTCCAGTTAGTCTTTGTCACCCCATGTTTTTAGTTTCTTTTTAACTACAGTAGAATCTCTCTTATCCAACCTTCACTCATCCAATGTTCTCTATTATCCAAGGCAGTCTGCCTCTTGCCCGGATCCACAGCTGTTTCAATACATTGCAATGTTTTGGTGCTAAATTCATAAATACAGTAATAATTCTTACATAACATTACCATGTATTGAACTGCTTTTTCTGTCAATTTGTTGTAAAACATGATGTTTGGGTGCTTAATTTGTAAAATCATAACATAATGTGATGTTTAATAGGTTTTTCCTTAATCCCTCCTTATTATCCAACATTTTTGCTTACACAATGTTCTACCAGCCCGTTTATATTGGAAAAGCGAGATTCTGCTGTATTGGCTTCTCTCTCCTTGTCATGCTTTCCACCTGCCTTTGTCCTTAGCGTATTTCATTCACTGCAAGTTATGTTCAAAGTACAAAAGTGGTTTGCACTCATTTGTCTCAGGCTGCATCTACACTGCCATCTAATCCAGTTTCTGATCCCAGATTATTTGCTTTGAACTGGATTATATGGCAGTGTACCCTCATATAATTCAATTCAAAGTAGATAATTTGGGATCAGATACTGAATTATATAGTAGTGTAGATCCAGCCTCAGGGCCCTTCCAGACAGGCCAAAATCCCAAGAGGAACTGGCATTTTAATTCCCAGTTCCTCCCAGGATTGAGGTCATACAACAGCCACAAACTCTGGGATTTTGCACAGAGTGGCTACATGCCTTCCTGGGTTGACCACAGGCATTTAGTCAGCCCCCATCACCCCATTTCCCTTCTAAACTTACCGGAGGGGTCTGGCTTTCCCCCCTTCTCTCTCCAAAGCTCCTGACACATCATTTTGATGCAGTGGGAGATTTCTTCGAGGGGATTAAGCATGCAGCCACACTCCTCCAGTAAATTTAGATGGGAAACAAGGTCTGGGAGGGGAGGGTGGGGTGCCATCCCACTTCTTTGGGCTCTTAGATGGCAATGGGGATTGGCCTCCAGAACGCAGAAGATGGTCCTAAGGGGCAAACCCCACAGGTCCAACACCTTACAATAAGGTCCAGATCTGTTGAAGTGTTGTTGTTTTTTAATCCGGAGTAAACTGGGAAATACCAGTTTGCCCTGGGTTAATCCTGATTAACCTGAGGCATTGTTTGGACACTCCAGGTTAATCTGAAACCTATCACCGGTTTTGGGCTTGTCTGGAAGGATCCTCAAATGTGGGAGCAGAGGGGAGTGGGAGAAATCTTGCAATTCCTGGTAGGCTTGGGCAAAAGCAAATAGATACAACCTTTTTAAGCTTAGGTATTAGCTTTCCACCTTGATCACATTTTTACAATGCTGGACCACATGTCTTCCAGTTTTCATCTGTGAAATGTTGCAGGATATGTTAATTGACCTATACTCACTAGTTTTGCCTCAACCATTTCAGCCATAAAACCCCTAATACCTGAGTTACTAAAAGACCATTTCACTCAGACAAAGATGCAAAAACACCATTGAGACTATTCTCCATGAAAGAAGGGTAGATTGCCAGGCACGAGAAAGAGGGCTGTCTCTTTCTTCAGAGAAGTAACCAGCATCTCCTAATTAACTTTTAGGTGAATTTCAATTCTTTTCAAATTTTGGCTACCTTAAGTGGAAGGGTAGTTTACCTTTTTATTTTTTCTTAGACTTTTAAGTCATAGTGAAATTCAACAGAATGAAAATGGAACTAAATGAAACTGTCCAATTTGACTGTGGTTTCTCTGCTCATTGTTGTTGTAGCCATATTTTAAATGCATTGTACCATATGCTTCCTTGAGAAATAGTGTATTTTGGAAGGGTACCAATATGTTTATTACATTCAAACAACAACCCAGTGCTTATGGCCATCCTTTCCCAATAGCTACAGCTTTTGACATTCACTAAATAACCAATTTTAGTCCATTCTTTGCCCCAATAAAAGCTAGAATATAAGATTGAAGTTTCTTTAGCTGTACTAGAGAGAGAGAGAGAGAGAGAGAGAGAGAGAGATCATGGTCTATGTCAAAATCTGCTCCTGGTATTTTTGTAGACAAAATTAAGCTTCTCCATCTTCTGCTTTCAGTTGTGTTTCCAATGTATAAACTTGTGTCTTTGCTTGTTTGAAGATTATTATTTTTTTGCAGTGAGCAAACTATTAGCCTTTTAGAATTCAATTATTCGGGTTCCTGTATCATTTCTTGACCCTTGGGCAAATTTTCCTACAATCATTGTTTCCAACTACAATTACCTATGATTAACAAAAACTCCTGTATTGATGTGTGATCTTCTTGGATTCCAGCATAGGATCTTTTGATTTCTTCTTCTGCCTCCATGGTGGGATCATAAAACTAAATTATGATTATATTGATGAATTCTCTCAGAAGTTTTATTGATGTTATTCAGTCAGACTTTGTAATTATCTGATTCAAAATATTTCATTCTCATCCAGTTTAACTTGCTCACCTCAAGTATTGCAATGTTTATATGTTCTATTTCTTGTTTTACTATGCCTGGCTTCTGATTAATGCATCTTGCATTCCATGTTCATGTGCATTGTGCAGCTTCAGTCATTCCTTTTACTTTTGAGCGCATCAATACCTGAATGTCTTTTCTATGTTAGTTCTACATTGGGAGGTGAGGACAAATAATGAGTTCATGGATTAGGTGGGATTTGAAACGGAAATTTCCTGTTCCACAGCTCTGTCTCTTTGCTAAGCTCTCAACTCTAGTTCCATGATCTGATAACGGCTGTAGACCATAGAAGTAAATATATGTTTCTGTTGCATTCAAAATTACATCTAGGTCATACATCAGGATACAATGAAGCATCACAGTGGGGATAGTTGGTTATATTCAACAGTGCATCTGGCTAAGAGAATGGATGACTCTTTATAACTGTGAATCTTTCTTGTTGAATTATGGCAAATGCTTAAACCCTTCCTGGGAATTACAATCTGGAATATAACTGATAATTTGGAATGTAACTCTGACATGTTTGGTCATTTTACAGTAAGCTATAAAGGATTGCTAGAGGTACATGGGAGGTATTAAGCATAAAATGAGTGGCACATACATTCTAGAAGGTAGTAACAATATCAAATTCATTACTTTGCTTCATAAATACTGCTTTGGCTTATCTAAAGGAATTGTCTACTTATCCTCCCCTCTCCTCATCCCCTCAAAAGCCCTTCTCTCCAAACAAAATAATGTGATTTATGTATTACGTGGCCTTGACCTGAAAATCAATGATTTACTCTAAAAGTCTTGCTAATGGCAAATATTATCTTTATGTGTGGCAGGAAAGGGAATTAGAATACATTTTGTATGAGCTCATTTCCCCAAAGGAGTTGTAGTAAACTTGTGGTATTGTCCCTTGTTTAGGGGGAGTCTTCCTGTCTTGAAATGAATGGCAGGAACTCAGGTTTCAAAGGCCACTGAGGGAGTTGTATTATCAAGTTCAGAATGGTTGCAGATCTTAAATGCAATTACAAGGAAGGAAAGTGCTCTTCACTATTCCTGCAGTTTTGATGGGAAACTGAATAGCAAAGGCTATAATGTACAAGCCATGTGTGGTGGTTGCAGAAGACATTTTCTATGTTCAAGACAAAAATGAGTTTGAGAGCTTGCTATCAACATTTCCATAATAGAAATGTAAAAATACATTTCCACAGGAGGAAGCAAAATAGATAGATGGATGGATAGATAGAGGCATGTATGTCTTTAAGTCTCTTAAAATAACAATGGGGAAGGGGAGAGCATAAAGTTCTAAGAGCATTTCAAAATGATGAATACATATAATGTTTGTTGACGTTTTGCAATGTAAAAGATTTCCTATGCATATAGATGAAATACTGTAATATATGTGTACCTTCAATTCACGTTTCAATGAATTTGATAGAGCTTTCTTAGAGAAGAAATACTCAGAGGTGGTTTGCCATTGCCTTTCCTGGAAGAATAGTGTGCAGCATCTGGTATTCCCTGGTGGTCTCTCATCCAAGTACTAATAAAGTCTGGCCTTGCTGAGCTTCCAAGCCAATGGTGACAAATTCCATTAATTTTAATGAGCCTACTTTATTAGTGATATTAGCAAATCTTTAGGTAGTACTGTCCATGTCATTCCAAACTAGTCTTATTTTACTAATTTTATTTGTAATAGTCAGATCCATGATCCCCTTAGAAGTGGGTGAAAATGAGCATATGGATCAGTACTGTGGAACTGAAAGCTGTTGCGTGTTTTGATCCTGAACATTAAATGCAAATACATTGAATGCCAAATGTCTTTCAATGAGATAGTGAGGAAGTAATGATTTGATGTAACTATCCCATGTCAAATACGAAAGATAGTGTTTGAATCTCCTGACATCATTTCAGACACAATGAGTTGGATTCAAACTTAGCTTGGATTAGAATAGATCCATTGAAATTATTGGGACTTTCAACTAGTTGTGACCACTTTGTTCCACTCATTCAGTCTTGTTTGTTCTAAGCATGAATGGGCATGTATCCAGATCAAATGTTTTCAAATGGAGTTGGAAGATGGGGAGTTATCAAATGGCATGGGAGCAACAGTCTTTTATCTGATCTTTTGCCAAGGCCATAAAATGTATAAATAAACTTCTGATTTATGGTGGTGAGCGACTAAGTGTCTTTAATCTACAAATTGACATTTTATACATCCATTCTCCATCTAAGATATTCTTTCAAAATAGCAGCTGCAGTTTAAAATGAATTCAAACACATCTCAATGAATTCAAAAACAGCATAAGGTATTTTGATATCACCCTTTTCTTCTCCTTGTCTCATGGTTTCCTTTTTTTCTGAAAAGAGAAATGTAAGTTTAAGCTGTAAATAACCATACATTTCTAATGTAATTTTGCAGATGGCTATGTCCGAAGAAGCTGCATAGTGAATGAGTAAGTGAAACTTTTCATCTTAAAAGAGGCAAAAAGGTTGCAATTAAAAGACCATCAGCAATACAATGATCCCTTGATATTGGTTGGGATTTGGTTCCAGAATCCTTCTGTGGATTTTTTTAAAATCCATGGATACTCAAGTTCCATTATAAACAGTGGTGTAGTAAATGGATGCAGAATCCATGGATACAGAGAACTGACTATACAACTAAAATCATATAAAAGATGGCTATTAAAAGAGGATTTAACTGTAAAGATTATTTAAAGCTACAATAGGACCCCTATACCCATGGAACCAACATCTGTAATTTCACCTACCCACACCTGACTAAATAATATATGGGAGTTATCTGGAAAGTAAGGTTGCGAGGCACATAGCTCTCACTGGGAATTTTCTAGGGGGAAGTTGGTATCACTGCTGTGTAACAGGAAGCTAGCGGAAGCGAACAAGCAGTAGCTCATTGACTGGCATTGTGTTTAAGGTTGGAGATGAGCGTCCTCATTCCATTTCGCTACAAGTGTGAAGTTCATGCTGTAATACGCTACCTAACTGCTAAGGGCATGAACGTCGCTGTGATTCATCACGAAATAGTTTCAGTTTATGGTGAGGACATAATGTCAAGACAGCATGTAACAAAATGGATACGGAATATATTGTGAGACCATGAGGGAACTTTGCAGTACCATCCAAAATGAACATCATGGGGTGCTGACAGTGGGAGTTTGTCTCCTTCATTACAATGCACGTCCGTACACCACTCTTCAACACAAGAGTTGTTGACTTCATTTGGTTGAGATGTTTTAAGCCATCCCTCTCATACCCCCGATTTTGTACCCATTGACTATCATCTGCTCACTAAATTGAAGGAACACCTTGATGGAAAACACTTTTTTGACTATGACAAGGTGAAAAGTGTTGAACTGGCTGAAAAAGGCGGAGGGAAACTTCTATGACACAGGCATCAAAAACATGTCCCACTGATGACTAAATGTATTTAACTGAATGGTGATTATGTGGAAAAATAATGTAATATCTATGCTACAATCCTTGTAAGTTTTATTAAAATATATCAAATTTTTGTATTTTAAAAAAATCTTGTAACCTTACTTTCTGGTAACCCTCGTATGTCCTCTCTAGCAACATTCTAGCTCTCCAGGGTGACATTATGGTAACAAAAGTCATTCATTTTCATAGGGTTCCCTATTATCCTCAGTTTCCTATTTCCATGATAAATTTAGGAACCTATGTCCCAAAGATACAAAGGTTGTACAGTACACTTAAAAAGAAAAATAAATAAATAAAAATATTTAAATTCTTTAAAATAATTCAGTTTAAAACAGTATAGCAACTAAAACAAATTGCCATGTTGTTAGTTAGTTAAATCTTTCAGCCTTTTTAGGGAAAGAAAGGATTTTTGTTGTTGTTGCTGCTGTAGTTGTTGAAGGGCCATAGTTCAATAGTAGACCATATACTTTGTATGCAAAAGGTCCAACATTTAATTACTCATATCAACAGCTGAGCTGGGAAAGATTCACCAGAAACATCTGAAGCATTTTACTATGGCTCACTGTACAAAAGCTTCCAATGTTTCAAAATGTATAACTAAGTGTTCTTCTTTCTGAATTTACAGAGATGACGAAATCTATGATGACATTGCTGACGGTACGTTACACATATCAGAACAGAATAGTAATAACTGAGAAATCAACTGATATATTCTTTCTGATTCGTTTTTAATTGCAAAGGCAGGCATTTGTCATACAAAATTTATGTTTCTTTTTTCCTCCTACTTGCAGGTTGCATATACGACAATGATTAGCTACAGACCTCTTCTCAGTCTGCACTTCATCATCTTGGAATTTCCATTTAATTGATATGAGAATGAAATGTATTACTTGTGCTGGTTGCTGTTGTATATGTATAAAGTTTTGATTAAATTTCTCCAGATGTTTCTGGGTTATGAAGGAGACTTCACAATGGGAGGATGGCATTGTTGCTGAGTTTGTCCCTCCTTTCCTTGACTGGGACCATGGATGAGATTTCCAATTGACCACATTTTTCTCAGTACAAGTTCTTCCTCTCTTGAAAAGCACATTATTTCTAACATTTCACAGGTGAAGTTATGGACACTCTTGTCCTTCTAATGCCACTTTTTTCACATCACTATCTGAGGCCTCCTTAGCTCATTACTGTTCTTCATTTTGTGTTCATTTACTCTTCAGTAAGCCCTGTGCTGGCTTTTGAAGCAGGATGCCTTAGCAAACTGACCATAACCATTTTGTTTTCATAACGAGTATAGTGGTGTTTCATCCCCAAAAGGATCTGATTGTAGTTAATATCAAACAACTTATGATCAAACACATCATGTGAATGTTATATAGACCAAATGTAACACCTACATTAAAAATAAATACATTCACAATGTTTACTAAATAGTTTCAAAGACTGAGAAATGTGAAGTTAAGCATTGTACTGGTATTTCCCTTGTAACAGACTTTGCATTCATGTTGATATTTCCATCCCTGTTTTAAGCAATATTATTATATGCACATGTCTCCTTTTTGTAAGCCATTTTGAGTCTCAGTCTGGGAGAAAGCTGTGATATAAAGGGAGGGAGAGAAGAATGCACATACACTCATATGATTTCTCAGGCTTATTACTGGTATCTCCCAGCATTAGGGACTGAATCTGGAAATAAAATACTGGATGTGCATTCAAAGTAATGAACACAATTAAAAGCATCCTTGTCATCTCTACAAAATGTTTCTGAGGGCATCAAGCAGACACTGGACCTGACATATACATATACCATAGTTAGAGCATATGCAAATATGCTTCTGTGTAACCTGGAATAACCCCTGATCTCTTATTTTCCTTTGGCCAGGAAAATAGTGAGCACTTTTAAAATGTTAATGCCATTCTTTAAAGTAGATTTCATGGGGTTACTCTAAATCTTATCAACATTTTTTTCCTGTCTTGCTGTGAAATTTTGGAGGCCAAGCGGTCACAAGAAGATATATGCATATTATAATCTTTAAAATAAATGTTCACAAAAATGGCTACCTTTTGCCTAATTTACACATTGGCTAAAATAGGTATGTATATATATTCCATATATTCCAGTTACACATATATTTAGATGTTTAGGATTTGAAAAGGTAAGCACCAAAGATGAAATATGCATACATTGACCACATTCCATCTTTGCAAGTTTGCATATTCTTGATGTATTGTGCCTCGCTTCAAGAGGTGCAAAAATACTTTAATTAAGACTAGCAAATCCAAAGACATTCCTTTTCATTCCTATTTCTGATGTACTTGGGGAGACTTGGACTCTTCTTTGCTGACTGAACTGCTGTCATCAGCTGTGCTATTTGATATAAAATAAACATTTTGTCACATTTGGTCATTCTCATATCAAATCATACTTATTACTGTATTTACTCAAATCTAATGCTCACCTTTTTTTTGTCTAAATCACCTTGCCAAAATTAAAATGTGCATTAGATTTACTGATATGGTAATCTTAGTTCTGAGCCAAAGCAAAAGGGGAAGCTATTTCAGGAGCACCTGGGGCTCCTATTTGAGGGATGTCATCTAATTTAATGGTGATGGCTCAATGCTATGCAATCCTGAGGTTTGTAGTTTGATGAGCCACCAGCATTCTTCAGCAAATTTCAAGACCTTGTAAAACTACATGATTTTATACAATTGAGCCAGAGCAGTTAAATTGGATACATTCTACAGCACATATGCACCTCAAGGTTATCTTTTCCGTTGCTGGAAGCTTTGGCGTTCAAACACTTTTGTTTTAAAAGAAGTAATTATAAGCATGCAGCGACTGTAATGCGCACCCTTTTTGTCCAAATTACAAAGTGTGCACTTTTTGCCACTGCGTATTACATTTCCCAGAAAATAGTTTTTGAAAATTAAGGTGTGCAATAGATTCGATAGTTCATTAGACTTGAGTAAATACGTGTATTTTAACCTCTTAGGGGGAAAAAACAGGCACCTAACAATTGATTCAAAGATAAAGACATTGATAAAGACCACAGAACTAGTGGTGATAGTGAATGTAAAAGTTACCATAGTACATGAAAGAAAAATTATCACTCCAAATCAGATCTTCCTGCTTGAATCACCCACTAATTGCGCTCACATATCTGCTCTGGACTACTACTATAGTCATTAATTATATCTCAGAGCGACATGAGGTTCCTTCCAACTCTTGTACATATACACTTCAAAATGGGTTCATCCATTCTTCAGAATCCATCTTACAAACACCTACATCTTTCCTCTGTCCCAAGATACCACAAGACACTCATAATTTGTTTAAAAAAGTGGGGGTGGGGGATCTTGGTGGTTGCCTTACTGAGAACACTTGATACTTATATATGTTTATACCAGTTGTTCCCAACCTGTGGGCTACTCCGTGGCTCTAGATTATTTAATATGGTTTTCTGTGGGCAAGCAGATAGCTACTATTGGATGGTATATGTTCTGTATAAGAAACTAGAGCTGATGTGGTCTATCCAATGCGATTTTCTGAATCAGCTTCCCAAATAACCAAACCAAATCTAAAGTTGACCAAAAACTGATTTGTAACCCTTTTGATACTAATGTTGGAGAGTGGTCCATGGTCAAGTGGTCCCTGGTCAAAGTGTTTTCTGTTCAAAGTAGGCACTGGTCAAAAAAAGGTTGGGAACCACTGGTTTATATATTTATACACACATGTACTTTTGGCTGCATTCTGAGATACTAGACTTGTGACCATTGATTATAAAAATATATGCCTATGTTGTCCTAGATATTTTTGTGAAAGGATGATTACAAATCTTGTTCTTTTATTCTTTGTATTTTATTCTTAAACTTTTTTTCTCATTTGGAAAATATTAAAAGATTTTATGAGTTTTCTAAACTGCAGCATTTTCAGAATCTACTTCTTCACTCACTAGCATACTTTTCCTGAGGCAGGCATCATAATCCTGTTTCCAGAAGGTACAACACAGCCAATTTGAAGGCGAAAAATATAACATAAGCATAAGCAGGGTATGTCTGGTATGGTGCCAGGCAATGACAGCCAATATCAAGAATGACAGCTTGCACAGAGTAAGTGGAGATGTTGCCAACATTTGTATTTCTTTGGCTTCAAATTACAAAGCATGGCAATTTTCAGTGCTCACCTTCAATCTTAGGGGTTCAGGGTGTAATCTGAATCAGTAAAGAATTTCTGCTCCTGCCCAGTTCATTCATTTCTCATCCACATGAATCCAAGTTGACCTGCTACCCTCTTCTTTTTTCCAATAGACTGCTTCTTCTCTGTGTTCTTGCTGTGTGACTCACTAATCCAGTGATGTCACTGTAATATTGCACAATGGGATCCAAGACAGACTCTGCAAAATAAGAGAGGGTTTTTTTTATTGTTTAGGAAAATCAAAGTTAGCGGAACAAAGTTCCAATCCATTGAGAGGTCTAACTAACTTTCAGTTGCACATTTGTACCAACTCAGTAGGATATTAAAAATCCGCATGTACAGTATAACAGAGTTTGTCACTAAAATCAGCAAAAATTAAGAGTTTTCAAAACTAGTCATGAATTCCTGGTGAGAGACCAATAAAAGATTGGAAAGTGAAGCAATCCCAACTTTCCCTGCTAGCAGTAATACCCTCTAAAGACAATATATGAGAAATGTCCCAGGAAAAGAACACAAGGGAAATCAAAAAGCAGATTTAACTTATTACATCAAAATATTTCAGCAAGATGTACATTTGATTTTTTTTTAAATTGAAGACTCCAAATAGCATTTAATTTAAGACTTTCAGTTAACTGATTCTGTCATTTAGTATCTTTCCTTCAGAAAGACCATAAGGGGTGTCAAAATCATTTTCCCCAATGGCCACATCAGCCCTATGGTTGTCTTCAAAGAGTCAGTTGTAATTGTAAGACTGTATAACTGTAACTATGTTGCCCTGGGATTGAAAGCCTTGTAGGCCACATAAAACAACATTCAGCCCAGGGATCCTACGTTTGACACGTGTGGTCTAGCCTCTGTGTTAAGGGAGTTCTAAAGCCTGAGTGCAGTAATGGAGAAATTGAGAAATCCTTTTTACTCCTACTAGTGAGAAGGGTGTGTGAGAGAGAAGGGTCTCTCCAGAAGATCTCAAAAACATGGACTTGTTCATACGAGAGAATATACTTCTTCAAATAGTATCTGAAAAATAAAAAGCTTTCTCAAATTATGCCTAGAAACAGCCAGATTTATTGTAATAAGCATGTTGTGTGTTACTTATAGCTAGCCCCAAATAATAATCCAGCTACAGATATTTGGACTACTCGATCTTTCTGATCATTCTTCAATGGCTGTCTCATAGAGACTGTATTACATCAATGCAAATGGGATGTGAATAAGGGATATGTTTTAATTTAATTTTTGCATCCCAACACAGTCCATTACTGATGACAGAAACTGGATTAGGGCCACTTTGTGTTTTCTACAGATGTCACATCTGTCACTTGTTTTGTTATCACCAGGGGCTCCATGGGCTCCACTCCATGAGAGAGGAGGCTCAGGAACAACTGTGTCCACTGTCTTGACCACTTTCACATTCTATCTGTTGTTGTTCATTCGTTCAGTCGTCTCCGACTCTTCGTGACCTCATGGACCAGCCCACGCCAGAGCTCCCTGTCGGCCGTCACCACCCCCAGCTCCTTCAAGGTCAGTCCAGTCACTTCAAGAATGCCATCCATCCATCTTTCTATCTAGAGGCTTTGATAGAATCATCTGCCAAGGCGGCAGCAAACTCCCCAAGAGTCATCAGGAATCCATTCAGATCTATAAGCTCTCAAAGTGGATCATCTTAGTGGGTTCTCTGCAGTTGTTCTAAGTCCCAGCAAATCTAAAATCATGATATTGGAACTACAGACAGTTCTTCAACATCATCTCAGCCATCACCAAAAACTCAACTAAGTGTGGCCACCTGGATATCAGCTGTAAAGCAGGATTTAGATCTGATTGAAGAATTATTATGTGATTCATACAAGCTTGATTTGCTTAATTTGTCAGGTAAATCTGTATGCAATATATCTGTATAAATACATTTCTGTTGTGTTAGTTTTAATGTCTGTGCCCCTGTTCAGGTTTTGCCTCATCTTCCGTCCCTGTGATAATTGGATTTTGAGAAACTTGGCTTGTTGGGGGGACAAGGATTTGTGGGAAAGCTTTAGTGGAGGCACGTTTTCCCCATGATAGTAACTCTTTCAGGAGTGAATTTCCCTTCCTAGGGGTAGATTTTTCTCACTTCCTGTTGTCTCACCCCGTTCTTAACTATGAGTCATTTGAAAGTTTGTAACTTGGGACTTGCTGTAATTGTGAAGTGGACTACAGGGAGAGTGGGAGCAAGATTTGTCTTTTTAATGGAAAGAAAATATAGTGTGCCCTCTTTTTAAGATAAGTTAGTATACGCTTTATGAAGTGTGGTCAATCACAATGTTAAAACATTGCTTTCCTCTAAATAAAATTACCTCCCAAACATTTTTCCTGGGGAAATATTGGATGGGCAATGACTACTTTTGCAAATTCTCCTCAACTGAGGAAACAAAGCATATGCATATTTTCGTTGTCTTTATTTTGTATCTTAGATCATGAAAAAGCAGTTTCATAACAATAGTCAAAGCAAAATTATGCTCAGGATAAACAGGAAGCATTTATATTTTTCAAAGAAAAACAGTCACTTTTCCGAGTAAAACCACACCCTCACAGTGTGAAACTTTGCACATACTATTTATATGCCAAAGTTGCTTGTTGGATTTGGTAGGGTTTATTTTCTTTAACTATCCCCCCCCCCCCCCGCCACATTTTACATTACACTTCATACAGATTTATGTATAATTTGAAAAAGATAGATTTTGTCTTTTAAATTATGAGTCACTCTGAATCCAAATTTGGGAGAGGAAGCAAGATATAAAAATATAATAAATATAAATATTACAGCCAGACAAGGACTCTGAGAAATCTGGGACTGAATCTTTGCTCTGCCCAGAAAAACACACAGGGTAGTCTTGGGCGAGTCATTTCAATATCAAACCACTTCTGAATATATCTTATCAAGAAAATATACATTTCTGTAAATCACAATACACATGAAAGCACATAAGAAGAACATTTAATATCAGGGTTTGGGAACGTGTATCTTTTCAAATACTGTTGGGTTACAGTCCCCATCATTCCTGACCACTGGCATTATAACTGGTTTAAAGAACTCATTTATAGAAATGCCAAGTTTGAAGGGACGCTTGAGATTTTTGATGTCTTCTATATTATTTATTTATTTATTTATTTACAGTATTTCTATCCTACCTTTCTCAGCCCAAAGGCGACTCAAGGCGGCTTACAAAATTGGTAACAATTCGATGCCACATTCATAAATACCATTAAAAACATTTAACATAACATAATAGAAATCCATATAAAACCCATTAAAACTATAATCACCAATGTCTTCCAGTTAAACTCATTTTCCATTAGCAATCTATGTGCTGGTACAGCTGTACCAGAAGCTCCCACTTTATTTGCCTTGTATTAAATGTTGGCTTGCAGTCCAAGGCTTGGGATTCTGCAGCAGTGTGGCTTCCTGTTAAAGTTTGCAGTTATAGGGCGGGCCACCTGTCCAATATCATTAGGTTCCTTAGCTCCGCACCCTTTTGGGTTTTGAGAAGGGAAGGGAGCCATTTTCAGTCAGTCACACACAAGGAAGCTAGTCTATAGGACGTAGACAGCTCGTCCCGTAGGAAAAGCTTCATTCCTCAAGATCATCTGGGGACCATCCGGTGATCATCTGAGGATCATTCAGGGAAATAGAAACAGAAGGAAGAAATCCCAAAGGCTCTGGTTGAGAGCTCACAGTCTCTCAGCCTCACAGCACTAGAGGGGAAAACAGCCCTGAAGTTCCCACAGGACAGCATTACACAACCACGGAATTCCAGCTGAAATATTTTCAAACCTTGGCTGGTAGGTTTACTTGATGTCCAGACACATTTGGGATCGGTAGTAAGACCCAGACCAGCGAGGCCCAGATGATAGACAGCCTGGGAGAGATTATAAAGGGTTCTTCCTCATGCTGAAAAGGTACAGTTAATCCAAGTCAGTGCCAGTCTCTTAAAGACTAGAATAGGAAAGCCTTGAAGTGTTGTTTGAAGATTTTTTATTTGTTCCTTAATAAAGACTTTGTTGTACCATTAAAGACTCTAAAGACCATTACTTTAGTAAATCCCTAATAATCTCTCTTTGAGGCATCCCGGCTTTCCACTGGGTTTAAAGTATACGTCCTATAG